CTATCGTCCCCTAGTGTTGGCCTGGAAATAATTTCAGTCTACATGAAGTATTTTCTAATATAACAATCTTCAAAATATTCAAGAAACATTGACGAGAGAAAGAATAAAAAGTGAAATTGAGCAAATACTATTTATTGGCTATTTTTCTTCAGCACTGTGGAAACACTGCAAGATTATACAGGTAGACTGCATTTTACTGCATTTCACTTTACAGCACTTTGCAGATACTGTGCTTTTTACAAACTAAGGTTTGTGGCAACCCTGCATTGAACAAGTCTGTTTGTGCCATTCTTCTAACAGCATTTGCTCACTTTGTGTCTGGGTCAAATTTTGATAATTCTCAGAATGTTTCAAACTTTTTCATTATATTTGCTATGGTGATCTGAAATCACTGATCTTTGATGTTACTATTGTAATTGTTTTGGAGTGCCATGAATCATACCCATATAAGACAGTAAATTTAATTAATGACTGTTGTGTGAGTTCTGACTGCTCCACCAAACAGCAGTTCCCCCATTTCTCCCCCTCTCCTTGGACCTCTGTTTCCTAAGATACAGCAATATTGAAATTAGGCCAATTAATAACCCTACAATGGCCTCTAATGTTCAAGTGAAAGGAAGAGCTTATACATCTCATCTCTCATTTTAAATTGAAAGCTGTAAATAATTAAGCTTAGTGAAGAAGGCAAGCCAGGACAGACCAAAAGCCTCTTGCACCAAACAGTTACCCAAACTGTGACTGACTGCAAAGGAAATGAAAAGTGCTATTTCAGTGAATGCACAAATGAGAAGTGAAACAGCCTGATTGTTCATATGGAGAAAGTTTTAGTTAGCTGGACAGAAGATCAAACCAGCCACAATATTTCCTTAAACCAGAGCCTAATCTGAGCAAGACCCTAACTCTCAATTCCATGAAGGCTGAGAGAGATAAGGAAGCTGCAGAAGAAAAGATGGAGAATAGCAAAAGTTCGTTCATGACATTTAAGGAAGTAAGCCATGTCCATAACATAAAAGTGCAAGATGAAGAAGCAAGTGATGCAGAAGCTGCATCAAGTTCTCCAGAAGATCTAGCTGAGATTACAATGAACAGATTTTCAATACAGACGAAACAGCCTTCTTTTGTAAGAAGATGCCATCTACGACTTTCACAGCTAGAGAGAAGTCAATGCCTGACTTCAAAGGTTCAAAGGACAGGCTGACTCTCTTATTAGGGGATAATGTAACTCGTGACTTTAAATTGATGCTCATTGACCATTCTGGAAATCCTAGGGCCCTTAAGAATTACGCTAAACCTACCTTGCCTATCCTCTATAAATGGAAAAAAAATTATTGATGAAACACATCTGTTTACAACATAGTTTTCTGGATATTTTAAGCCCAGTGTTGAGGCCTATTGCTTAACGTCACCCAAGAGCTCTGACGGAGATGTACAATAAGATTAATATTGTTTTCATACCTGTTAATACAGCACCCATTCTGCAGCCCATGGATCAAGGAATCATTTCACCTTTAAGTCTTAGTAAGAAATAAATTTCCTAAGGCCATTAACTGCCATAGACAGTGATTCCTCTGATGGATATGCGCAAAGGAAACTGAGAACCTTCTGGAATGGATTCATCATTCTAGATGCCCTTAAGAACATTCATGATTCATGTTACAGAGAAGTCATTTGTGAAAGGAAGAGTAAATCAACGCAGGAAACTCCACAACTGTCTTATTTTAAGAAACTGCCACAGCCACCCCAAACTTCAGCCACCACCACCCTGCTCAGTCAGCAGCCATGAACACTGAGGTATGAACTTACACCAGCAAAAAGATCATGACTCACTGAAAGCTCAGGTGATGGATAGTATTTTTTAGCAATAAAGTATTTGTATGTACTTTTTTTAGACATGATGCTATTGCACACTTAAGAGACTATAGCGTAAACTTTTTCTATGCACTGGTAGACCAAAAAATTAATCTGACTTGCTTTATTGTATTATTTGCATTATTTCGGTGGTCTGGAACAGAACCCACAATACTTCCAAGGTATGACTGTACTTCATAAACAGAATTCTTTGTTCTTGGTTATTGAACTTCAGTGTAGATAACAATATTCTTTAGAATCACTGTTCAAGATTTAAATCAAGTAAGGGAGTAAAATGTTAGTATGCCGCAGTAAACTGTAAACCTAAGAATGAATAATTAAGAACTCTGCAAAAAAGACCATCCAACTCACAAATGTCAAAGTAGGGCAATAAAAAATAATTCTCATGTTTATTCCTTGTCAGTTCGGCCAGAGGAAGCCCCCTTACCCTAGGAGAGAGGGCTCCTGCTTCAGAACTAGGATCCTATCCCCACAACCACCTTTAATTCAAAACCAAGATAACAACAGGAGAGATGGTAGAGTAAAGGGGAGGCACTGGATCAGAGGGAAATGAAGACTTGGGAGTGGAAAGGCAAGAAAAGGAAAGATTTCAAGAAGAGTAAACAGGAAGGGGAATGTATTATGGCTTCTAAACTGTAAGACCAAAACAGTTGCCCCAAGGTGGTATAGCTGAAAGATCTATAATTAATGTGTACTACTGGATCAGAAGTTTTAATTCTGATAAAAGCATATTAACTAGTGGCAAGATTTTAAATGAAAAGATCTGCCTAAATAATAAACTTCTAACAGTAGAGGACCAGATTAATAAATTATGACCCAGTCTGAACTGATATTCTATAGATAATGAAATAGAAAGACATCCATGAATATACTGTGAGATGGAGGAAAAAAAACAAAAACAGGAAGCTTTAGAACGTTATAAATAGTATATGCCCACTGGCATGAAAGACTGTTTAAATATAAATGGAAAAATATGCATTAATCTGTCAAAGCATTATTTCTTCAGGGAGTGAGGAGTGAGAAAAATTTCAGCTTTATATGTTCTATGCTATTGGTATTTTTCATTATTAACTTGGTTACTTTCATAATGAAAAAGTATTTTAAGATCATTTTTGTGATCTTAAGGAAACTACGGAAATAATGTTTCAATCTAGGTGACTAATTGCCAACTCAACTGCTATTGGATCTGAATAAGAATTTCCTGAAGAAGAAAGACTATCTGTCAAAGGGAATAGACATCAATAATACCTGAGATACAACTATACCTTAATGTACTGCTTGTTTATAAAAATGAACCAAAACAGTCTATATGTTATAGAAATAAAGAAAGCCAAAATGTTATAACATTGCATATAGAAAATCAGCAAATATTTCCCTACTAGTAACCTCATCTATATTGTTTATATGTATAATGCACCAGTAGTTTTAGGAGAAATAAAAAGGGCTGGCACAGACTTATAGTAAGAATTTTAATGATGACATTTCTGTGTCAAAACATCATTTATGTCATCTATATATAAACAGTAGACTAAAGTTCAGTGAGATAGCTTTCAAAATAATTTTGTAAATTAGAAGATACAACTGCATTCCCTTTGCAACATAGGATTCAAAGAGAAATACTGTTATTTTTAGCATGCTTACTCTGACAGATACCTTCATTTTTCTATTCAATAAATCCTAAATAATACAAACAGCCAGCTTACACTTAAAAATATTTTTAATTGGATTTAGGTTTTCAGAACAAATACCAATACAAAGGCACTAGAATTATGTGAAAACTGAGACTTAAACCTAGCTTTAAGGGGTACAAAAAAAACATTTCAACAGTACTGGCAATATTCTATGCCAAAGCTGGGTAATCAATCACATGCTATTTTACTCTAAAACTCACATGTAACAGTATTTTTCTGAAAATGTCAAATACTTCTGAGTAAAAGTACAACTTAATAAAGCTGTATTAAATTTAAAAAATACATTTGAGACAGTTAATTAGATTATAAAGTACATCATTCTGAAACAGCAGTTTCCCAAGCAATACTGACCAAAATAATAGAAAACATGTCCCTATTCTAAAAGAAATAAAACCAGGTAACACTTGGTTGTTTTGCCTACTTTACCTCAAAACTTAAGGGACACTTTCTTGGGCTATTTTAATGCCCATCAATTCTGTAGTAAAGGCTCTTAAGTAACAAAATTTTTATGTTAGGAAATACATGTTAGTGGATATATGTTTACCTGTAATAGATTATCATCTTAAAAGAACAAGTTAAAATTTTAATATGTCCTTGCAGGTAGTGGGAAGATCAAGGCTTGCTGAATCTTAACACTTAATTTTTCCAGTATGTGCTGGTTTTATCCCTTATAATTCATTTTCTATGAAATAAAACAAGTGTAGTAGTATGATGGTAGAAATTTATTGAATAAAGTTCCAAAAAAAGTGAATAAAATAAGTAGTTTTCATTTCTTCTCAGTTTAAGACTGGCTCACAAACCAAGTATAAGCATGGCACTTGTTTCTCTACATTAAAAAGAGTTGTAATTTTCCAAGCCATTTCACTTAATTAATCCTCGAAACCCCCTCATGATAGATTTTATCATGATTTTGCAGAAAAGGAATCCCAAGTATGCTGAGTTATATTCAGTGATCCTATCTCAACAGCCTACCAGTTACTGTTCTAGGTACTAGGGATATAGCAATGAACAAAATTCCCTGCCTTCATGGACAGTACATTCTAGCAATAAGACATTAACAAATGTTTCGGTAAGTGATGATAAATATTTGGAGAAAAAGAAATCATGGAAGGGAAAAAATGTATATTTACGCTGTCAGCAAAACCAGTACACATCTAGATAGCAATGAGTTGGTAGTAGTTATCAGAACCTTGAGACATGTGTTCTTTGCAACAGAATTACCAGTTCCTTCAGAAGGTGTCTTTGACTAAATGCATTTCTGAAATACTCTTTCCTTATAAGCCATTCTCTAAAAATTAGCTTTTGGGTAACAGCTGTTTATAGGATTTTATTTAAAAATCCTTCACACCACTAAACCTCACTGCCTAAACTGATCTGTCAAACAACAAAATGGAATAAATACAACAAACTAGCAAGTATTGCTCAAATTTTCATACTTACCATAAGCATTGGGGAAGTCCCCAGGTCCTGGTCCAGGATAAAAAGGACCTGGGCCCGGTGGCTGAACTGGATACTGTTGTGGGGGCCCAACATAAGGAGGGCCACTATGACGGTACTAGAAGAGAGAAATTGTAAGACACTTGTAAATAATATGAAGGTAACTTACTATGGAAAAATAAAGTGAGTGTGTATATAAAAGAATCACTTAAATGAGGTGAAACTATTCAGTTCAACACATTCAAAATGCTTGTTTGCCGTCAAGATGCAATGAGGATGAAGAGAAAGGCATGCCTTAGGTAAAGCCATACAGCAAATCAGTGCACAGGCAGGCACCAGCTTATTGTAAAATTATTTCAGGCTGGTAGCTTTCAATGACATTGAATAATATCACAGGAACAGTGTAATTACTGAATCCATTTTAGAGCAGCTGGTTGTGAGGAAGGGATGGGGGAAAGCTAGGAGATAAAACAATTTCTCTATCATCTTAGAAAATTGTAAAAGACAGAAATTGTAGAAATATCTCCTTACAGTATTATGAAAAATGACAACATGGCTAGACTTATAACCAACAAAAAAGTTCACACATCACTAGAAACCACTGACATCACCCACCATCCCTCTCCCTCTGATTAAAATCTGAGTCAGCCCACACTCTACTGCTGCACCACACAGACCTGAGAGATACTTTACCTGTGGTATACAGTACTGAGGACCCTGGGGCACTGGGTACGGCATAGGTAGATGGTTAACCATCATGATGTGCTGATTGGCCTGATACACTGCAGTAGGGGTCTGTGCACCAGGACGAATGGAAGGACTGCTGTTTGGGATGGTAGCTCTAGGAGGCTGTATTTGAGGCCTCTGGAAAAACTGGGGAGGGGAGAAAAAAATAATTATTTTTTTTACAAAGGAGAATATGGAAATCTTACTATTTTGAGCTTTCTCCTTTTTCCCCACTCATAAAAATCTCATCAACTTGAATTACAAATAAAATATACAAGAAAAGAGATTAAATTGCCTATGGCTGGGTTCACAAAAAAATTTTCCATACTAGGCACACCAGGTCAAGTTTGATCAATGTTGTCATACATTTGAAAATAGTAGGGCAGTCTCACTTTTAAAATGAAATCTCAGCTAATGTAAACTAAAAACTCCATACTGTAACTATTAATTTTAAAATATGATAAAATATACATATGAGGTAGCTGGTGTCTCTCTAAAAGTTGTTCTGTTGTATGAAAGCATTGATTCTTTCATAAAGAGTAGGTGACTTATTTATCAACTTATTAAAAATTATAAGTAGTCCCCTAAAAACCACAACTCATTTATAAAATAGAACAATAAATATCTCTGGACAGAAAAATTTTCATCTTAATCTCTCAGGATCCAGTTAAATTAAAACTATGTGTAGGGTTGTCACATGTTGTCACGTGATGAGAAAAACCTTCCTTTTCAAAAAGGGGGCAACCCTGTATTAAAATAAATCCAATTTTGCTCTCTTGAATAGTTTCCAATAAAAGTGGAAAATCTAGACATGCTTAAGAATGGTCCAGAAGGAGTGGAGCTCAGGTCTCTCAAAAGGGCAACCAGTACCACTGGTTATTTATGGTTATAACTGAAGGTTTAAAAGCCTTGAAACAGTGTACCAATAGCAAATTCCCACTGTGAATGCATGTACTCATCAACAATCATTCAATTTATTGTAATAATAATTAGGGGTCAGGGTAATAAAGATGCCATGCAGAACCAGTAGTTTGTTACCTGGATGGGTCTGAATCCTCCCTTCAATTATGAAGCAAGAAAGCAGCAGGAAACAGAAAGAAAGCCAATGGAAAAGCTTACAGATCAGTAGGAAGGGGTAGGACATAGCATGCAGCTCAACAAAAATATCTTTCTATTTAGTAATAATAGGAGGAGGAAGATTAGAAAACCAGAATGACAATTCTCCACAAGAGAATTCAAGGACACATGAAACTAAAGAACTGAATCACATTTAACTGACAATAAGTAAATCCAGCAGCAAAAATATTCTAATAGTAGCCACAAGTTAAAACAGTCTGAAAAGAAATGTCTGCATAGTGGCACAGTTGGGACTACTAATTCCTATTCTTGGTTCGCATGGATGCCCATAATCCACTCTCCATCTTGTATGGAGATAAGAGTTATTAATAAAAGTGCCATTTGTTGTTTTCCAGTTTGAAAAGTCCTAAGAAATAACTAAATTTTTCAACTAGCTATATTTTTCACTAGCTACCAAGCACCACTCTAAACGCTTCACATATATATTATGAACATATCAGACTCTTCATGACAGAAACCTCTCTTTTCAACTAACCAGCCATATAAAACGCCACTTAGAGCTTTAAAATGGCAAAATACAATCTAAAAACGTGGTCTCATTTCAAAAGCTCCTGAATTCTCTCAAAATTCCAAACATGAGTGCTGCTATTGGTCCAAATAAAGGCCAGGATAAACATTGCCTTTTGGGCCCACTCAGGTCTTATCCTGTCCTGTTTTAAGCATTGAGCTACCTACGGATGTAGAAGTAACTTTCATCTTGTGCTGAACTCGAAGAACTGAGCTCCAGTACCCAAGGCTCATCCCCATTCAGCCTTCATACCCCAGGGCAAAGAAAGCCCTAAAAAGAAGGGTAAGTCACAGAAAAGCAATAGACAGTAAGGTATAGCAGGAGAATGGAGTGAATGGGGAAACCACATAGGGGAGGCCACAGAGAATAGTTGATGGAGATGAAAAGCAAGTACAAGAGGCAAAACTGATAACACAGGAACCTGGCTGGGCCACAACAGCAATAGTCTTTTTAGTTATTTCCACTGACACAGTTTTGGGGACAGACACAATTTCTGTCGGCTGTAGCCAGGATCACTAAACTAGTAAACTTCCCATACTGGACTTCACTTAATTACGTAACAGATAGACTCTATTATTCACCAATGTATGTGAGTTGTAAATATATTTAAGGAATGAACTTAAGCATTTTTATAATTTGGTTGATTTATCAAGAGGTGCAAAACATTTACAAGTCTCAAGGAGAGAAGAGTCCCTCATCTGCTCCACTTACTGAGCTTTACTAGATGTCACACTGTGGATCAAAAGACTAATCCTGTAAGATCCTTTCCCATCAACTCTAGAGGGCAGTCAAGACAAGGAGAGTATCAAACAGATACAGGTGATGATCCACTGTAGTTTTTGTTTGTTTGTTTTTTGTTTTGTTTTGTTTTTACTAAGGTATGATTTATATACACTCTTATGAAGGTTTCACATGAAAAAACAATGTGGTTACTACATTTACCCATATTATCAAGTCCCCACCCACACCCCAATGCAGTCATCACTGTTCATCAGTGTAGTAAGATGCCACAGATCCACTATTTGCCTTCTCTGTGCTACACTGTTCTCCCCGTGATCCCCCACACCATGTGTACTAAACATAATACCCCTCAAACCCTTCTCCCTCCCTCCCCACCCACCCTTCCACACCCCTCCCCTTTGGTTTCCACTACTTCATTCTTGGAGTTTCTGAGTCTGCTGCTATTTTGTTCCTTTAGTTTTGCTTCATTGTTATACTCCACAAATGAGGGAAATCATTTGGCACTTGTCTTTCTCTGCCTGGCTTATTTCACTGAGCATAATATCCTCCAGCTCCATCCATGCTGTTGCAAGTGGTAGAATCTGTTTCTTTCTTATGGCCGAATAGTATTCCATTGCATATATATACATCTTCTTTATCTATTCATCTACTGATGGACACTGAGGTTGCTTCCATATCTTGGATATTGTAAAAAGTGCTGCGATAAACATAGGGGTGCTTATGTCTTTTTCAATCTGAGAAGTTGTATTCTATGGGTAAATTCCAAGGAGTGGGATTCCCAGGTCAAATGGTATTTCTATTTTTTGGTTTTTTGAGGAACCTCCATACTGCTTTCCACAATGGTTGAACTAGCTTGCATTCCCACCAGCAGTGTAGGAGGTTCCCCTTTCTCCACCTCCTCACCAGCATTTGTTCTTCTTAGTCTTTTTGATGCTGGCCATCCTTACTGGTGTGAGGTGATATCTCACTGTGGTTTTAATTTGCATTTCCTGATGATTAGTGATGATGAGCATCTTTTCATGTGTCTGTTGGCCTTCTGAACTTCTTTGGAGAAGTGTCTGTTCAGAACCTCTGCCCATTTTTTAATTGGCTTATTTGCTTTTTGTTTGTTGAGGTGTGTAAGTTCTTTATATATTTTGGATGTTAACCCCTTGTCGGATATGTCATTTACAAATATATTCTCCCATACTATAGGATGCCTTTTTGTTTTGTTGATGGTGTCCTTTGCCGTACAAAAACTTTTTAGTTTGATGTAGTCCCATGAGTTCATTTTTG